GGCGGGGTGGTATTAACATCCTCGTCCCCGCCCCCGCCTTCAATTTTATCAATCGGAAAAAACTCGAACCCAAACCCGAACCCAATAAACACGGGTTTTCCCGTTCAAATCGAGCAGGTACCTACAGGAGGGACGGGTTAGATTGTCATGCCTACTACCAAGCCTGGATCGAGCACAAACTTTACTTGGTAAAGCCCTTGCTACAGATCTAAAAGAAATAGTATTATTAGTAGCATTTTTTTGCATAAAAGAATTACTAAATAATATAATTACCAAAAAAAAATATTATATGGATAATATTGAGAGTAAATTAAAAAGTAGGTTTCACCCACTACCATAAGGCTAGTATTGAGAGATTCAGATACTAAATAAAATTAAATACATTAAATTAATAAATAAATTTACATATTTAAAAAAAAAAAACTTTAAATAAAATACCATATTATTAACATTTTTCAATTAATTTAAATAAGTCTTGTTAGAATTTGCTTTTAGTCCCTTTTTTCCTTTTAGTCAAAATTGTTTGGATTAAAGCTAGAGGACAGCTCAATGGCACTCATCATGAATGAAGATTTTCAACTCCAAAGAGCAACATGAATAAAATAAAATGGAATAAAATAAACTTCTTTAAATTAATTTGTAGAAAATTTCACATAACTTCTGTAAAATATACTTGTCCAAGTTTTTTTTTTGTTACAACTTGTCCAAGTTAATTTTAACTTATATGAATTTTTTTTTCCTATTAGAAGTAAAAAGCCCCCTTTTACCTTTTTAAACTAACAATTTAAGAATCCCAAACGAAATCCACAGCCTTCAACTCGGAACACCGTTATTATTTGCCGGAAAATCAAAGAGCTTGAACCCCTATCTAATCCAGTATTTCAGAAGTGGTAAATCCTAATTAAAAATTTATACTATATATATATATATATATTAATTATTTTAATAAAAATAGAATATGAAAGACAAAAAGTGCAATTTTGTGAAAATGAAAGTAAAAGATATTTTCATAATAGAAAAATAAGAAATAATTTATATAAAAGAATTAATTATGTAAATAAAATATAAATATAGAGAAATTAGAAGGTAGAAATTGTTTTTATTTATGCAGTTTAAAAAATAATTTGCATAAAAAAGGGAAAAACTGACAACTAGAATATGAGATATAGCATGTAATCATTCTTGCTTTATATATAAGAGTTGAAATGTTAAATACCAATTTTTAATATTTATCATCATATTTATAATATTAATTTAATTATTTTTTTATTATAAAAATATTCAAGTCACAATTAATTGATTAAAATAAAATTATAATAAAATTTGAATACTAAAGTGACATCAAATTAAAATTTCAAGAACTAAAATAATATTAAATTATAATTTTATGAACAAAAATACCATTGTATTACATTTTATAGATTCAAATGATATTATGTTATAATCATAAAATGATACACATATCCATGTGTCACACGTGAAATGCATCACTCCATATATGTACTGTGTTAACTTCATATATATATATATATATATATATATATATATATATATATATATATATATATATATATATATCACATAAAACTCACATAAT